ATAACATTACATGTTATAAGTAAATATTGACTAGTAGAGTGTGTGCTCACTTGGCAAGACTACTTACAATTACTCAAATAGAATTCTAAAATTTCTTGATTTACTCGTGCCAATGACAAAAATCCACACAAACATGTTCTCTCTATTTTCTTCCTATGAAATGGCTACCTCATTTATTGAAAACAAAATAAAATTACAAAAATCTGCTCACAGAAGACAGTTGCGTGAACAATTAAAACTAACAAAAATTCAGAGTCCATGTATCATTCATTTCCAGCTCTTAGATGATGCAAAATATGCACCTAGGTGTTAGTAGACCTAGTGTATATCTACTGGCTAGATAAGTAATGTTTTAGGTTTTTATTATACTGAATTTAGTTATATGCATTGACTATAAATTATTGTTACTTTGCACTTGTTGATTGTTAGAAAAACAGTCAAAAGCACAAAATAATTCTGCTGTTGTGATAGAATTCCAATGTAACTCAGCATAATTTGTATGGATTTCAATTAAAATAGAGCAAGTTGTATAGGCTGAAACAAACAAAGCTTAGATGGCTTAAATTTGCATGTAGAAACAGAGTCATCAAAACATGAGATTTAGAACAGTTTCTGCCTATCAAAGTTCTATATTTCACACGTACCAATCAAAGTTCTATATTTCAAATCAATACTCCAGGATTTTACTTCAATCCACAAACTCAAACCACAAAAATTAAAGTCACAAGATTAAAACAAACATCATTCTATGCATCATTAGAAAAATAATCAATTTTTATAAATAGCCATAAAAGAACCATTATTAGCCAAATTATACCTCGGGCTGGTACTGCAAACCATATAACCTCTTTTCACGATTCTCCACTGCAGTTATAGACCCTTGCTTGCTCCTTGCCATGACCTCAAACCCCTCTGGAAACTTCACGGCCTCTTCACCGTGACTCATCCCCACATTCTGCCTATCCCCAACCTTCCTATTTCCAAACAACCTACAAGCCTTCTCTACCTCAATTTCCATCCTCCCAAACTCCTGCTTCTCCCCAACCTTCACCTCACCCCCTGTTTTCTGCACTATCAATTGGAGACCATAGCATATCCCAAACATAGCAAAAACTAGACCAATGGGAGACATTTGAGGTTAAACATATTATCTTATTAGTAAGAGGTCTGAGTTTAAAACTCTCCGGTTCACATATATAATGCACATCATGCCTACAATACAAACTAAATCCAGCCTACACATAAGGGGCTTGTAGCATATAGCCGAGGTGGTTCACACCATTGTACAAAATTTGAAAACATAAAATCCTTTATGTCTGTGTTTAAAGTAGCATTTTATTTGTTGGGAAAACATGAGTGCTGATAAAAACTTGTACACATATATTAATTGGGATTCAAACTGCAAATCAATTGACATGTTCGAGCTTCTCTATTCAGGTTATCATCCAATACACAGGGATAAACCAATACACAGGGATAAATAGCAGCTTATGAAGCCTTGATTATCTCGAGCAACAAGAACGAAACAAGAACAAAAAACTAAGAAGGCATATAAGACTCACCTACATATGCAACAGTGATGCCCGAACATAAATTTACATGTATGCATGACTACTTTTATGAATACAAACTTGAACACTGCAAGGGGGACTCTATTAAATAAGTTAGAGTCACTGCTACTTTAAAAAAAGCGAATTAAGATTGAGAAGGGAACACTCAAGATCCTTTTTCTTCCCCCCCAATTCCATTTGAAATGAAAATGGTACCTTATCCATCTGAAACCAGATATGCTGCATCAGGCTTAAATGTAGTTTTAGAATGTAGAATTTAAAAATGAACCACAAGCTCTAAATTAACAACTATTGAAAGAAAAAAAAAATTAACATATTACTATATGTAAAAGATTTCTTAACAGATACAAGCACCAGAGCAGTATCCCAGAATAATTTTTGTTTAGCCAAATCTTATAATTCACTAGTTAATAGCCCACATTTTCTTCATTCAAGCGCAGTAATTTATTGCAAGAAAACCAATCAAACAAAGGAAGAAAATAGAATACACTACATTATTCGGTGAAAATTGACTAGCCTGACTTTAACTACACCACCAAGAGCCTGAAGCCCGCGGACATAAATATCAATTGGTCAAGCTCCAATATCACATCCACTGGGCAAACCAACCACAGCCTCTCCAAACCGGCCAAGCAGAGGACCAATAACGAAGAACCCACCTCGAATCTTGCCAATGCCACTCAATTCAGGTTCTACAAACCCGACTAGTTTAGTATTAACCACCATCTCATTATTAGAAAACTCAATTTCAGCACCTAAAGAGCCCAAAATAGAAGCCATCATTCTTGTATCAAATATTCGGAAAGCTCTCTTGCGAAGGATGGGAGATGTGAGTTTTGGAGGAGAGAGGAATTGTAAATCAGAGGAACTGAGGAAGAAGGGAAGTCATGGGAGAGGGGAGAGAGAAGATAAGTTGAAAATGGGCGTTTCCTGTGTTTTGTAAAATTGACGTGTTTTGCACTGAAAACATTCAAAACGTGGTTTTCAGTGTTTTCTGTTTTTAGTACAATTTTTTTTTTCAAAAATTCGTTTTCAAAAATGAGAAAGAGAATGCGTTTTTAGTGTTTTGAAAAATCGAAAATCGAAAACAGTTTGAAAACAGTAAAGAGAACATGGCCTAAATCTCCATTACTTTCATTTTGAGAGGAAAAATGGAACTTACCTCATCACAGCATAGGAGCAGAGCGACGGAGTGGCTCGCGGTCTATTGTCACTGCCGTGAGTCTGGCCATTTGGTGTGCTGCCTCGCGGTGGAGTGGTGGGACCTGTGGTGGGGTGGTGGTGTCGCTGGCTTGCGGTGGAGACGGAGACTAGAGAGGGAGATGAGAGACTAAGGCGAGAGTAGAGATGGAGAGGCTAAGCGAGCTGGAGAGTGTAACTGGGAAATGAGAGGTTCCAGATTTTATTTTTCTTTTTATATTTAAAATTTTTTTAAATCTGGGGTGGGGTGGGGGGGGGGGGGACGTGCCCACAACAACAGAAGTCCCTTTAGGTTTTAAAATTCATTTTCAAAAAATTGCAGCTTTGGTCCCCAAGTTAAAAAAACAATTAAAGCGGCCCCCAGGTAAAAGCCCCGTATCCTTTACTTTTTCATTTTGTTGTCAAGTCCTCCAGTTAATTGCACAATCGGTCCCCAAACTTTGATTTTGTACATTTTGATCCTCAAATTTTGACTTTCATAACAATCATGCCCTCCAAAAATTGCAACCCAAGGTCTTTCAACTTTTTGACTTGTGCACTTTGGTCACCAACTTCATAATTTTGCACACTTTTAGTCTATTTTCCTCATTTTGTCTTATTTTCTTTCCTTTTGGTGATTTTTACCTTCAAAAGCAATTATTACATAATCGTGAGTAGAAATTCGCTTATTTTATCAATAATAAGTATATTTATGTATTAAATAAGTGTGCAAAAACACACTTATCAATTTTCAACCAATTTTCGACTCCTACAAATAGATAACAGCAGAATACATGAAGGAAGAGACGGGAGAAGACTTTTGAGAGAAGAAAAGAGATTATAACGTTAAGATCAACTCCAAGAACACGAAGATCCAATTCAAGAATGGAATTGATGATGTCGTTCTTTATTTATTTTTCTGATTTTCTTCTTTCTATCATGTTAGGCTAGATTAATTCTGTTCTAGGGTTAGATGAGCTATGTAATATGATTTTTATTTCTTAGTTTTACATTCTTGACAACCAAAAACACGTTTTGGGATATTTGAATGATTTATATGAATTTATTTTTCTTCACAATTATATGCGCGAATGATTGTATGAGTTTGGTGACTTATTTCATGCATTTGAAAGAAGGGAAATATGTTAGACATATATAAATCATCATATGGTCCGATATGTGATATAAATATATCGTTATACCTTATGTGAATATTTAAGTGTTATTAAAAATTTATGCATTCTTATATGTTGCATTCGTTATAGAGATATAGTCAGGTCGTATATTTAAATATGTTTAACTCCACTCGAGAGAGATTGTTAAATAATTTAGGAGAATTGATTCTTCAATATTTCAAACGTGTGTCAGGTGTAGAACTAGATTTAAAAGGAATATTACATAGAGATTCGTGATCATAGTACATTCATCATACATTAGAAAACACTTCAATTTACATTCACCGTCAATTTGCATTTAGTTAGTTAATTTATTCATACTTGCATATTGATCATTAATTTAGTTATAATTTCATCAAAACAAACATTCTCATTTTTATAGTTTCGGTTAAGGTCACGGTAATTAGAATTAGAACTAATCAATCTTCGTGACAACGATATTTGGACTTAAAATCCATTTTACTACTTGTTAACGAACTGTACACTTGCGGTGATTTTAATTCAACATATTTTCGTGAACAAGTTTTATGACAGAGCTGAAAAAAACCCACATACACATGTCTCTTGATTCTTAGAGATGTGTCAACACTTCCGATATCAAGGTATCTCAGATGATACTACCAGACTAAGGCCGTTCCCACACACACTACGTGATAAAGCACTAGTGTGGTTGGACTTTCAACCTATTGCCAGCATAAATACATGGAACGACCTAGCTCAAAAATTCTGCACAAAGTTCTTTCCACCGGCCAAATTAGTAAAACTGAAGCATGATATATGTATTTTCAGCCAAAATTAATCAAAGTCTTTTGATGAAGCTTGGAATCAGTTCAAGAACATGCTAGGGAAGTGTCCTCATCATAGTATTAGCAAAGGACTCTAGGTCCAATATTTTTATGGGGGATTACTTCCATGATTCAAAAGCATGGTGGATTCTTCA